AGCTCGGCAAACTACGCTGGGAAAAATTGGTTTTGGCTAGCTTTCCTTTGCGTGTTGTCAAAGTTGCATGTACTAGCCAAGCTGAGGAAAACACCCAGTCAGAGGAAATGGTGGTCTTGCACTTTGTGTCGCGGACCTCAAGCAATAGTTTTCCCTCCCTGGCAAAAATCCATTGTGCTTGCTGAGCTGGCTCTTGATCTTTGTACGAACGACCAAACTTATTGCTGGTGAACACGAACAAAAATTGTGTGAACCACAAAAGACCCACTGCAATCGCTCCAGTTCCACTAGCCAGAGCCTTCTCGCGCGCAGGTGGACACGTGGCTTCAGCTTTGGTCGCCCCTGGCTGGCCAGCGTGTTGGCTGGCTGGGGGCGTTAGGGCACAACGACGTCACCATAATTTCGTAATTTCGACGACGTCACTAAATTCAGTTTTTGAATTTAACGAAATTAACCGACGACCCAGGAATTATTTTATATTGCCCAGATAGATCCAAATAGGCAACACACAGCACATGCAGAGAAAAGCACTTGCACTCTGCATAGGGGGCGAGCCCAAACAGCAACGGCTGTTTGGTTTTTCTTTGTGTAGGCTGAACATACGCCCCGGTGTTCTGTGGCAACCCATCACTTCTGAATGTTGACAGGCCGGCGGGCCGGTGTTTCCCAGTAATTGGTTGAGGCAGAGTGGGAGCGCCACGATGCCATGCAGCTGGGCCTTCAGGAGCTGCGGGACGTCCATGGTTCCTGCCAGTTCGTTGCAAGGGTGCGAATGTGTGCGAGTGGTCTTTTACATGTTTTACAAGATGTTATATAGCGCAGAACACGAACAAACAACAGTTCATCCCACCATACTGTAGGCACTGTAGGTTGGGGATTGGTTTGGCTGATGCGAGGATGATGAGCTTTTTGCAGAACTCTTGTCGGCCATAGAAGAGGCCATCCCTGAGCTTGATCAGAAAGGGCTCTCCAGTGCCTTGGGCAGCCAGAAGTTGCCAGTGCGTTGGGCATGCGATGTGATGATGTGATGCCACGTGCATGCCAAGCTTGCTTTTAGCTTGTGCATAGTTTTCTGCAACGGCCGCCGGCAGGAGTTCTCATGGGCTTGGGTGACACTCACGAAGATCTGCCTTTTGGACACTCAACGACTCCACAGGAACACCTTCAACGGCTGTTCTCACTTGTGGAGGCTGCCTGTGCTAAGCTGCTTTCCGATTGGGAAGCTCCTGCAGCATCACTGGATGACAGGGATTTGGGATTTCCTTTGTTTGCACTGTCCCGGCTGGGAATTTACAACCAGGAGGTCTTTGACACTGCATCAAGGCTGCTAACTTCAAAGTTAAGTGGACAGCCACCTTTGCCAGTGCAGGGTTTGAGGCAGTGGCTGCTTGCCTGCAACAGCTTGAGCCATTCCCTGACGCAGCACGCAGAGGCCATTACAGCATATGAGCCGCCACAGCCGTGGACTAGCGAAGAGGATAGCCGACTGCATCAGATGGCTGGTGCCTTGGCTCATTTGCCTGATCCAAACCCACTACTGGCCAACGTTCTACAAGAGGTCATCCGCAGGCCAGCATCCCAACTACGTTCCAGCAAAGCTGTTGCCCTATACGGCTTACAGGTGGTTCGGCTTTTGATCGAAGCAGGCTGTGTGCCAAGCACGGTTTCATTCCCTGCAGAGCTTGGCAGAGAATTGGACCACTCTCTGGAACAAAAATCAAAGGTCGTTCGCCGTTGCTCCCATCTGGAAAACAAGGTTGGACATGTTTTGACCAATTGCGGCTTCGAGCCACGACATGATGTGGTGCCGCGTGCGGGCCTCTCTGCAGACTTCTTCTGTCACTGGGAGGCCAAAAAGATCAGCTTCTTCTTGGAGGTCAGGGGGAGAAAGGTCCTGTTGAATAATTACGGTCCAACCATAAATATGTCTACTTCATCGCAGCTTAACAAGGCCCTTTCCCTTTGAATGACAATCCTTTTGAATAACAATTTTTGCTTTCTCCAACGTTTTTCCGTGAAACGGATCTAGAAACACCACCGCGTCCAGAGGTGGATGGACCGAGCCACTTCTGCGTGCGGCCCTTTTGGCGTCGTCGCGGGCGAGCTGTACTGAAACAACGGGTCTTCGCCTCGCAGGGGTGGCCCTTGGTGTCGATCCCCTACTGGATCGCTGCACCCCCGGGCGCCTATGCTCGAAGAGGCGGTCCCCGAAAGATGCCAAGCTTGGAGCTGAACGAAGAGGAAGTGAAACAAACCATCGCAGAACAATTAGACACCTGGAGCTCATCGAACCCTCCACATGTGAGGCAATGGTGGGCAGAGAGCGTGTCTGGCCAAAAGGTGAGTGATATAGGCCAAACTGACCCAACATTGCAAGATGTCCCAACAGAAGCAAACGACAGATTGGTTGCGGTCCAAGAGCCACTCAACTTCTCCCGGGGTCGTGTGAAGCCTCGTTTTCCCAGGCCACAGCCTTGACCCTTCTGTTTGACCGACCACTCCCACCTAGCGCTCCAGCCGTGGCGGCGGCGTTGGGGGCTTGTGGAAAGAGTGGAGCCTGGCAGTCGGGGGCCTGGCTGCGGCAGGGGAGCGGCTGTTGTTTGGCTCTTGGCCTCTCACTGAGAAATTGCCAAGATGACGAAAAAACACTTGGTTCAGGGAAAGGCCGTGCTCCATGTTTGAAACGCGCTGAAGTCCAATTTCACCACAAAGGCATGCAGTATCCTGCCTGGAGAGCGTCGAGGCACCCTGTCAGTGATAGCGAGCATGCTGGATTGCATTGGAGCGCCTAAGTTTGATGTTCACTAGAGCATTCTGCAGCGTTTGCCAGCAAGGCCGGCAAAGGTGAGCTGAATGCAACTAGCCTCTTGGCGGCCTTTAGTGCACAAGTCCTGACGCTGAGCTGAATGCACTTGCATCGCGGCATTCTCAGCTCAGGCTTTGGAATTGCAGTGAATGCATGCGCTCGAAATGATGAGGCAGCCCCAGTCCAGCTTGCCAATCTCACCTCAAACACCAAGGCAAATACCTGCTGTAAACATAACATAGGAGAAGAAGATGGTGATGGGCGATAGGCGATACAGGTGGTGATAATATGTGACACTTGGAATTATCAAACACCATCAACGAGCAGGATTGAATGCACCAACAAGGACGGGCGACACGTGCTTGGACCCAAATGTCACAACCATTCGGACCATTCACCTTGGGGGTTTTGTTCAATGTGGTCCTCCGATCCACTTCTGCTTCTCTGAAGTCACCGATTCACAGGTCAATGCATCGCCGCCACCTCAAAGTGCTGGCATTGAGAATTGATCTCAGCACATGTCAACCTCTTGTGGAAGGAAGGAAGGAAGGAAGAACCCAACAAGTTATATAGCTGGGCATTCTTTAGTGCACTTGATTTAGCAAATTTAGCTTTTGCACAAATACCATCACGGAACAAACCCCGGAACAGAACTGCTGCTTTCCCGGCTGTATTCATATTATATGCCTTGCCTCCCCAGGCTTTCCCTCCTACGTAGAGCGCACTCTCGTGACTTGGAGTAAGCAGCTTAGACTGGAGACACTTCTTCAGTGGAAACAGGATAGACAGGCAATCACAAGGAGCTTGAAGAACAGCCTCTTGGTCAGGATGCTTTACTATTTAGCTGCTGTCTTGAGACTTGCCAAGCTGCTTCCCCTCCGGACTTGGCTCAAGTTTTGCTGGATTAAGGCGGATCTATGCAGATGTCACAGTCGGTCAGATTCCATTGGCAAGAAACCCGAACAAGTTGCACACTTGATTTGGAGCACGGGATGCGTGTTGACCTTCTGAGGGAAAAAGCATCCAAGAAACACCGTTGACAATCAATGGCGCCTCTTGACGATGTTGATGATGATGGTGCGGCTGACATTGATCCAGATGATGAGGGCGAGGAGAATAGCAGCTTGCAGAGGAAAGGCAATAAGGGACACGTAGATGGATTAATGGATTCTCCACCTTTGGATCCTTTGGCATACCCTTGACTAGTGGCATGCTGAAAAAGTGCACAGCAGGATTTGTTACTAGAATTGTTGCAGCCTTGGTCATTGGCCAGAGGTTGGCTTTTGCAATCTTTTGCCCAGTCTGCCAAGCAGCATGATTCTTAGGCTTTCCGGTGCCTTATAGCACTTCAGCTTCTCGCATGCCGCCCCTGGTGAGCTGGAGAGAATCCATACGTTGTGACGTATAGGGCAACCATTTCGTGAAGAGAAAAACAGCCCTGAGCAACACCGAAAGTTGATGCTCGCTCTTGGGAATCTCAGTAGAACTTAATTACTGACCCGTCTTCCTGTCCTTTGTGCTGCTCAAGAATGCATTTGAAAGGCCCTTCAAGTGTTTAAGGTCTTGGACTGCAACCAATCTTGCTAGGCTGCTGGGCCTTTAGAGGAAGGATTCATAAGGATTCAGGCTTTTTGTCTACCTTACTTATGGTGAGTGGTCACCAGTCCGGACCGATCTGAACCGGTGCTCCGTGAGTTGCAGGAGCGGCTCCCTGGATGTTGAGGAGCTGTCTGAACGCCTGCTGGGGCTCGAGGCACGCGTTCGTGACAGGAAGTTCTAACTAAGAAGTTCCAGGTGTTGAAATATGTTGAATTCTTGGATTTGAATATTGACTGTTTGATACTGTTTGCGCTTCTTTGGTGGAGTTCGCTTTCTCATGTCACCCGAAAACGAAAACAGTCGCACAGAAATAAGCCGGCCGGCCATGAAACCCAGACACTCGGCATCAGGTGGATGATGCAGAAGAGGAGGCTCGGGAAGCCTTAAACGAATCGACCGATGGAGCAACCGACGCAGATGTCCTTGCAGTGCTCCTGACTGTCTTCAAGGCGGACCGTGAAAGCGCCATTCATGGAGAGGATTCCTGGGAGAGACCACTGGAGTACTGCAAACGAATGTGCTCACTTTGTGATCGGAACTTCCTCAGTGGTGGTGGTCAACCCCGAGTGGATGACTTCCCAGCTCGCGTGGTGGCCAGTGTCTATGCCGAGTGTGGGCGAACCCATGCGTTAGCAGGGCAGATCTCCAGCGCACGTGACCTCTTTCAGAAGGCGCTGAACGTTTTTGCACTTCTCCCAGAGCCCAACATGGATGAGACCTTAGAGATCTCTGCTTGCCGGGGCTCTTTGGCGAGGGTCTTGCGGCGGGCTGGGCAGCTGAAAGGTGCACAGGATGAATTTCTGCAAGCCATGCAGCTGTTGGCAGATGTGCCGGACACCATTGAAGTGTCAGGCTTAGTGAGTGAGTATGCAGAGACGTTGGCATCTGCGGGAAATGAAGCTGTGGCTTCTCCAGACCTGCTGAACCTCATCAGCCAGCTGCTTGGCGTGTGGGGAGCCGGGAAGGGTGCAGCGGGCAGTTTGTGCTTGCAGGCATCATGAGTTCTTGCTTTGATGCTTTTGCTTGTTCTTGTGCGCGAAGGATGGTGGAGGAGAAGTTTGGTGAAGGGAGCGATGAGCACATCCAAGCCCTGCAGGAATTATCCGATGCATGCCTCAATGCTGGGAAGCAAGCCTTGGCTGCTCCGATCTTCATGAGCCTTGCAAGGCCAGACATCATTTGCCGATGCTCTCTTTCAACACCTTTATTTGTTCCAAGGTTTGGTTTGTTTAGTCCGTTTTGGGCAGTGGGCTGGGCGAGGCAGCTGCGAAGTTACTACGGGAGCAGCCGGCTTGATTCTTGGGCAGCCGCTGAAATCCAGGCCCCGAGTCACCACTTTAGTGGACTTGTATATATATATATATCAAATATCAATATATATATATATATAACTATATTTATACATACACACTGTATATACTTATGTATTAGAGTATACTATAGTGACGATGTGTTTGTGTGAGTGTGTGTTTTTTGTTTTTTAAACGTTTGTTTCTTGCATTTTTTTTTTTCAGGGTGCTGTGTGCATTGACACACACATATATACGTATATTTAACCAGGCTAGCGCCTGGCAGCCGCCGACCCCCAGGGAAGTGGATGGCCTAGGTTTAATGGGTTAAGAGTTTTGTCGAAAAATCGAGCACGGCAAATGGGTTAGCATTTTTGATTGAACATCTGGGAACCCAAAAGCCTCCACCGGCACACTTGCAGAATGCGAGCACAGCACTAGAAAAGAGCGTCGGCGCAAAGTAGGCAGAAGAGAGCACGGCAAATGGGTTAGCATTTTTCCCTGAAAATCTGGGAACCCAAAAGCCTCCACCGGCACGCTTGCAGAATGCGAGCACAGCAGTAGTGAAGAGCAGAAAAAGCTTGCACGTGCGGAGCGCATAGAGGAGAAACTCCTAGAAAAAACCCTCGAAAACACCAGTGGAAAATCTCAGGAAAGCACAGAACTTCCTAGAAAACCCATATAAAAGCCTAGAAAAGCCCTCGAAAAAGGTATGAGAAAATCTTACAAAAACCTTTGAAAATCCTAGAAGCCCAGCAGAAAACGTTGCAAAATCCAGGAAAAACCGAGGGCACTGGCAGGGACCAGGCCGCAACCGGCCCGGGATTCGAACCCAGGACTGTGCGGATGAGGGGCTCCAATCCCCAAACGAATACATTTGGAGAAATCTTGGACAAATCTTGGCTACTTTTCGTCACTGCAGCAAGGCTCCGGAGAGCCTTAATCATAGCCTTAGCCTTAATCAACAGTGACGCCTCATCCCACGAGTGGGGTCAGCCAAATGGGTTAGGATTTTTTTTTCGAAAAATTGGTGAACCCAAAAAACAACACGGAACCCCTAGAGACATGATCTGTTCCTGCATCACCAAAGTAGGCAGAAGAGAGCACGGCAAATGGGTTAGCATTTTTCTTTGAAAATCTGGGAACCCAAAAAACAACACGGAGCCCCTAGACAACCACAGAACTACCTAGAAAAACCAGAGAAAATCCTGGAAAAACCCTCGCAAAAGGCATGAAAGGCATGAGTAAATCTTACAAAAGCCTTTGAACATCCTAGAAATCCAGCGGAAAACGTTAGAAAATCTAGGAAAAACCAAAGGCACTGGCAGGGACCAGGCCGCGACCAGCGCGGGATTCGAGCCCGGGGACCGTGCTTATTATCTCGCGCGGGTGGAGAGGGTGCCCCTTCCGGCCCGGGATTCGAACCCAGGACCGCGCTCCAATCCCCGAACCAATACATTTGGAGAAATCTTGGACAAACCTTTGCTACTTTTCGTCATTGCAACAAGGCTCCGGAGGGGTAGGGGAGGTATAGCCTTAATCATAGCCTTAGCCTTAGCCTTGGCCTTAATCATAGCCTTAGCCTTAATCAACAGTCACGCCTCATCCCACGAGTGGGGTCGGTGGATTATAGACAAATATATATATATATATATATATAATGTTTGTGATTTTTGTGTGATGCTTATTTTGGACAGATTTGATGAGTTTTGCATGGCTGAATGCTCCCGCTGACACTGGCCAGTTCTATGTGATCAATCGGTTCCCCTGTTCAGGCTGTTGAGGAAAAGGCCGCCCAAGCGCTAGAAACAAGCGCTGCAGAACATATGCAAGATGCAGATTTCGAGGCTCTGAAAACATTCAGTGCCGACGGAAATCCTTGCCGTGTATGTGTTTCGGCATGTTACATATGCAGATAGGATGTATAAGCAGCAGCGGATAGATGACCACGACTGCTACTACTACTACTACTACTACTTCTTCTTCTACTACTACTACTACTACCCGTAGTTGCAGTAGTAGTAATTGTGGCTCAAGGAGCACAAGGTATGGGCGTGACATCGAGGTTTGTCTTCGGGCACGGAAGTGGTTTTTTCAAGACGATCTTTGGACACCTTGGTGTAAGTCCACAAACTCACGGAGAACATTTTACTGTATATAGATATGACATGTGTAGGTTTAGAATGATGCCACACACACACATGGTGTTGGGCCACTGCCGATTGTGGCATTGTCAAACCATAGGCAATCATGCTGCCAAGTTCTTGGCCATCTCTGACGAACATGCTGGAGTTTTGAACAGGTGCATTGCCATGATGCACGAACTTGGGTGGAGGACCTTGGACCTCAGGTGAGAATCTCGATGCCGAGTGCACTTTGCTGCAGGACTTTGTGATTTGCGGCAGTTCGTGAGGAGAGTGCAAGTGTATGCGAACGTTGGTGGCGAGGAGGGGAATCCACTTGTTTGCGTAGATGATCTACCGTAGATGGATTTGGGCTCAATGCAAACAGAGGAAGAGGGAGAAGACTGTCAGAATGGTCCACCATCACTTTGATGTGAGGTGGCATCCTTGTCAATGCATTTTATGGACATCCTCGTGTCGAAGAGGCTCAACAACGATGTGGAATTTGCAAACCCACAAGAACAAAGACAGCAGAGCGAGTGAATGGAACACTTGCTTTCAGCGCATGACCTTCAACGACCTTGTTAGAGAACCTTCCTGAAGGAGGACCGGCCCTTCAAGCCTTCGCACCTGCTTCCATCATTCGGTTTCTTCTTCGGGCCAAAGCCGAACCTTTTGGACGTGCTTTCGGAAGCGAATCGGCTGAATGTTGGGTGCCTCGGAGCCCGGCCAGTTGGGGGGCATCATTGGTGACCGGCGCCAACGGTGGTGCCTCAAAAGGACTGTTGCGAACCACCCCGGCAGGGCGATGGATGCTCAGACCATGTGTTGCGTCGCCTTCACCGGTGTCAACGTGACCGTGCAACATCGGTCTGAGACGATCAACGAGCAGCTCGGAGTTCAAGGAACCATAAGGAACCCCAATCATCCCGTCGTTCATGATCGTTGTCCATTTGATTCCATGTGGCTATTTTGTGGATATCAGCGGAAAGATTGGACGGTGTGCTTAAAGACATGTTGTCAATGTTGTGGACATTGAGCCGAGCCGAGTGCGGGAAGCAAGGTCAGGGAGTCGAGCAAGCCAACCATTGTGACAGAACTGGGCATCAAATGAGCAAGCCCGAAAGCAAGAGTACGACGGACGAACCGTGGCAAAAAACACCGAGAAGGAAAATGAATGAAGTTGACTTAACTGGCACTACTATCTGTGGAGAAGATCTTAAATCGATCCAGACGCCCATTAAAGTGACTTAGGTGGATGGGTATCCTGCTGTTTCGGGCAAGAGTGAGACAACTGGGGAGACTGGCATGTATCTGCTGGGTTCCGCCCGCGATCTTGGGGAGTACCGTAGAAGTACTTTTAATCACTGCTTGCAGCTGCTGGAATGGCAGTCTTGTGCGGATTTGAACTTGACTTGTGAAGAGTATAGACATGTTGCATTTTTCAGCTGCTTGAGCATTGACACATGCCACAAAAAGACCTTTCCAACTGCGCCATGATCCTGCAAATTGACTCCCATCGTAGGCAGCCGCAAGCATGTGGTCGTTGGCGATCCGCATGCGAGAGGCTTTGAATACCCAGGACGGTTCTGGTCGAGACAGACCTTCAATGACAGATTTGGAGGGAAGGGGTAGTCAAGGAGCACTTCTTATATACTGTAAGGAAGCTATTAGTAACAAGTGCATCGCTTCTAGTAACAGGTGCCTTACTAGTAGTAACAAGTGCCTTACTAGTAGTATAGGTTTAGGTCTAGGTTTAGGAACACATAGAGCTCCCTTGCCTCACAGCACTGGACCGCGCGTCAGGAGGAGGTGCTCTCCGAAATGCGCTCGTCCTTGGCCGCTTTGAAGCAGGCCGCAGCCATGAACGGCAGCGAAGCAGGCGGTGCGGCCAGTACACGTGAGCCCGCCGAGCCAGCAGAGACCGATCAGGATGGGAGTCGTGATCGGTGATGACGTGCCTCGGTTTTTCGGTGAGAGCGGAACTGGGAGAGATTTGGACGACAGATTAAGCGATCACAAAGACAGAGTGCAAGAATGTGCGAAGGATTTGCCGAACATCTGAGACTAGCAGAGTTGATCCTTGCAGGACAGCTTTTGCGAGGAGAACGCGACACCCGAAAGCTGGGACCAGTCAGAGCAGAAGGACACAGATCCAGCTTGAAGGTCAAGGATTAATTGCCTAGATTTACCTAGATTGGTGCTGAAAATGCACCAACTATGTATGTAAAAATATCAATGGAGTTCTTTTCCTTCCAAGATCTGTATAGATGTGCAATGATAATGATTCAATGATGTGCCCATGTGTTATACAAAAGTTATATATATGTGTGTATATATATATGTATATATATATATATTCAAGGTTGCTCTGTCTAATCTTTCGTTGGTGATGGGCAATTCCTTTTGCATTTGTGTGTACGCGTGCTATGCGATTTCATTGATTCGATGCGGTTCCATGTTTAATTCTAATTATTGGTTCTAATAGCTTCTTGTTCCTAGTAGTAAGGCCAGGAGCCCCTAGTAGCGTCCTTGTTCCTAGTAGCGATGCCCTTTGCTCCTAGTAGTGTCCTCTACCCGAGGAGGCGGTGGAAGCCACGCGGCCGAAGCCATGTTTGTCCCAGCCCCTTCAGAGTGCCTTGCGACCAGACTGGACACGAGCAACATCCACTGCTCCATCTGATGCGTGGGATTAGCCAGTGGGAAAAGAGTCGAACTTGAGTATCTTACCATGCTGCTTGCTAAATCAGCTCTGCTTGCTTACTGAAACTCAGTCTTCGGCAGGTGCGCCACCATTAGGCATTTCTGGGTGAATTGCTCTCGAGGCCTGGTTTGCTAGCCTACACCTCATTCCTCTCTGCGCTGGGGCCCTCAACTTTGGGCACTTTGCAACTACATGATGCAATTACATGGCGTGCCGGATTGCAAACGGACTTTCCTCCAATCCTCCAGAATCCAGACTCGATTCCAGCACTTCTGCTCAGCTTTCTTGCTCAAAGGTGCAGGCAGCATGGAAACTTGATTCAGACTGTTTGGCTTGGGCAAAGTCTTCCCCCCAAAAGTGCCTGAGTGACCACAGAGAGGCGGACAGAAGGCGAGAGAGAATCTCCACTTGCTTGGCGGGGTGACCCGAGTTTTCAGTCTATTTTTGATACACCAAAGCCTCTAAAACGCCATGGGTGATCTTGCTGACCTGGCACACGTGAGCTTTGTGTGGCTTGGCGAAGAGTTTTATGTTAATTACATCCATCCATCCATCCATCCATCCATCCATCCATCCATACATACATACATACATACATAGCATACATACATACATACATGGCTCAAGCCGTCCAGCTGTTCAAGCCCGCTGCCAACCAAGACGGGCTAGTGCGAATAACCCCAGGCGAACATAGCCTCGACTACCCCAACGAGCTGGACAGGAACTAGCTCCACTAGAACACACTCTTTGCCCGTTATTACCGAGACCACCTACCTCGCTTTAACCGAGCTCTTTGGTACCTGGCAGTTTCTCGCTGGCCATCCACTTCCAACCCTTCAAGGGCACCTTGCTGAACGTGCACTACTCTCTCCAACCTCTTTGGGGAGATTGTCCACTACCACTTTGCCCGCTATCCCTTCAACACTGAAGAGGACATAGGCCAGTTCGAGATCGGTGAAGTGATCATGCAGTGGGGCCGCAGCTACATGACATGCCAGCACCAGAGCTGCAGCAACTGGATCTGGAGCGACAAACTCAGATCCGGAACGAAGTGCAGAAAATGTGGTACATGGTGGCCTGACAATACTACCCGAACGGGGAAAGGAAAAGGATATGGACGACCGGCCAATAAACACACCTCCAATCAAACATGGTTGGGTGCTCCACCTGGGCTCACGAAGATCAGACCTCTGAAGAAGAACAAAATGCAGCAAGAAGCGACTGAGCTACTCAATAGCAGCTGGTCTTCACTGCCGGAGGAGACACAGGTGAAGCTCCAGGCCCTTGGCATAGGACCAACCAAACCTGATGAACCAGAGCTGACCGACATATTGAAGAACCACATGGACGCTTTGCCGCCCCAGGTCCAACAGATCGTGACTAAGCTCACGGCACCGGAACCGTGCACTGAGCGGGAGATTGCAACCAAGCTCAAAGGCCAGGTGACCGACCTCAAAGCCATGTCCATACGGAAAAACCAGTTGCAGGAGAAGATCGATGGAGTCAAGGCTCAATATGCCTCCCTTCTCTCTGACATGCAAGAATTGTAGGCCAAACTGGCAGAAGGACAAAAGACACTCCACAAGCTCTCCCGGGACTACATGACAGCCATCAACCAAACGCCAGCACCAGCTGAATTGGCAGGCGGCAATGGGGAACCTGAACAGATCCCCATGGCAGTAGAATCTTTCGTGCACAGCCTGGGCATTTCGCTCACAGAAGAGCAAAAGCATCAGCTGCACGGGCTCCTCAAGCGGCCAAATCAGGACCCGGATGACCCAACAAAAAGGAGGAAAACTGATGGCATTGCACCACCGCCACCTGGACACTGTGGGTAACAGGGGCACCACCGAACGGACGATGGGGTGGCTTTTTCCGGTCCCGGAGGATGACACATGGTCATGTGAAGGAACGGACGAAACCAGTTTGGGGACTCTTGTCGAACAAGACACCAGTTTTGCAGAAGAGCCACAGGATAACAATCCACACACCAGGTGGACCACCAATGACGGCTCCAGCAGAGACATACTTCGGATCACTTGTGAAGGGGACATTTCACACACGACTTTGGGGACATCCACGAACCAGAGCTCACGACATACCACAAGGGATTGCCGTGCTGCTTCAGGCTCAACAGCATTTTCTTTTATCAGTGCATCCAGTGTTGGGGAGTTAACACGGAAAACACTGGCTGAGCAACCTTTTGACAGCTCAACACACCAAGGGAACAATGTTGCAGGGGAAGAGCAACAAACTCCAAGTTCTTGTCAAACCCAACAAGGGTTACCAATTTTGCATCGTTCCACCGAAGCTCCGGCGGCACCACATGGGCCCTGGCTGACGATCACAGGAGGAGCTTCGACCACACCCACCTCCTGGATCGACAGCGGAGAGCAGCCACCCTTCATGAGCTCCCATTTCTACGCCTCCACAACAGATTTGCTCCTCCAAAACTTGAGCATGGTCGTGGGCAATCCAAGCGCACGGTGCTTTGCAAATGCACCGTGGAGAGCATTTTGCTGGATGTGCGCCTACCTGGCCGAATTCAACCGAGATCCATGGGGAGTCATCAAAGACGCCGTGCAAACCTCATTGGAGCTCTCAGAACCTGTTGACATTCAAAGGCTGCCTGGCCTGCCTCAACTATGGGAGAAACACAACCTCAACATTGAGGGTGATGCAGCTCACTTTGTGCATTCTCTGTGGGTTCATTCACAGACCCGAGTCCTGCAGTACCGCCACGCCGAAATCAAAGAAGGAGGGTACGTCACGGAGCACATCCAAGTTCCACTCATCGTGGACTACCCTGATGAATACCTTGATGAGATCACATGGCAAGAGCTCATGAACTGTTGGGCCAACCACGGCCTGGGCCAATATCTTGGTGATGACAAGCTGGTCCACATCAGTCACATCAACAGAGCAGTCACCATCGAAGGCACTGTGACCAAGCACAAGAGGGCCCTCAACCCTCACGGGCCATACACCGTCCCACGCTCACTGGACGGATTCTCCAGAGCCAGTGCCGAGTACATCCCAATGGCATACATATGCCACAGAGGCCCTACCCACGAGACCGGGCACTACTACGCCATTTTGGTGTACAAAGACCTCATGTGGATTGCGGACGATGGAGCCACACCCAAGGTCTTGCCCTTTTTGACGCCCCAAATTGCGGGCCAGATAGTCCAAGTCTGGGGCATCCAGACCTCTGCACTGATCACACCAAGGCAAACAGCACGGGCACTGCCGCCTCCTGAAACTCCAGACTACGATCCACCTCTCCACGGCACACCGCCCAAGAAAGCCAGACGCACCCAGGAGAACACGCGCCTCCATGTCGGCAACATCACAGCCTTTGGCAAGAGCACCCTTGATTGGTACTGGACACGAGATAATGAAATCTACATCATGGTTGAGACTCACCTGGATCGGCAAAAGCACCAAACCATGTGTCAATACTTTGAAGTCAGAGGCAGACATGCTTTTGGATACCCAGCCCATGCCAATAGCAACAATGAGGGCACCCATGGAGGCACCATGGTCATCCATGACACTGCACACGGCCTCACCCAACTGGAAGCCTTTGACATTGAAGGCTGCGGGTACCAGGCCTTCCTCTGGGAGGCAAAGGCCCGCACCATCCTGGTGGTCGCAGTTTACTTCAAAACCAATGAGACCATCCAGGGAGCCACAAATGCCCAAATTTTGGCCCGCATCCTGGCTCTCCTTGCCACAACTCGGGAATTCATCCTGGTTGGCGACTGGAACAACCACCCGGAGCAATTCCAGGGCACGGTCCTTAGCTCCAAGTTCCATTGGCAAATTCTTGCACCGGATGCCACTTTGCTGAACGGCAACACGGTCGACTACGCCATAATGCATCAGACCTTGGCAGCCTGTACCTCCATGACAACCGAGTGGGCTGTCCCCTGGAGACCACATTGTCTCCTCACATATGCATTGGAACTCGAAGATGATTTCCGGTTGTACCACCAACTCCGGACTTTCCCACCGCTGCCCAATGTCCCCGACATTGGATTTCGAGCTTGGAGCACATACGTCACTCAGGTCGAACAGCTCCAACTGTACGAGAGCACACCAAACCACGGAGCCACAGGCCTAGCTGATTGGGCTTCGATTACCGAACAATACCTACTGCAGCAACATCCATGGGCAATCCAGGGCAGAGCTTCCAGCTTGGCCACCCAACACCTCCCATTGGTTCCCGCGAAAGCCGGAGGCATCTGGAAAAAGGGGAAGGCAGCCTTTTGGGAGCAGATCCAAGCCCTGATCCAGAACCAACCAGCCAAGCTCCAGGGGCCATCCATGGTCTCAACAATTCCCTCCAGCAAGTCCAACACCACTGGCTGGGCGACCAGACATGGGGGCAATTCCTTGACACCCACCAACACTGGCTGCAATACCGTGACAACCGCACTTTTGAGCTCATGCAACAAACAGTGCAGCATCAGCTTGAGGCAGCGCAACAACAGAGTCGGGAAGAATCCAGCCTCCAATACGCTGAATGGATCAGACAGGGTGAAACCAAAGGGCTCAAAGGTCTTTTCAGATTACTGAAGGCCAATGAACTGTCTTGGCAACGGCCCTACAGGAACATTCCCATGGCTGACCGCATGAGGCACAGGATGCAAGATTGGCACAAGCTCTGGAAACCCACCAGAGATGACCAACCTATGACCCGGCTACCACTACAGGACCAGGCCAAGCAGCAAGCAGCCGAACTCCCACTTTCGAGCGGCTGGGAAAGACCTTGCGACACCTCCCTGACAAAGCCTGCGGACCAGACGCCATCACAACACAGATGCTGCGCACTGCACCGAAACAAGCCCTCCAACCATTGCTGAGCATCCTGCAGACTATGGAGGCTAGAGCCGAACTCCCAACACAGCTCACTTTGAGCTTGGTCGTCACGCTGGCAAAAAACGAGAGGGTGGAACGCCCATCACACTGACAAGTGTACTGTACCGGGTTTGGTGCAAGATGAGAAAACCAATCCTGGACGAGTGGCAACGCACACTCCCACCATCGATGGACTATGATCGAGCCAGACCTGGTGCTACAGCTCTTCATGTAGCCCTTGAACGTCTCCTACGCCAGGAAACTGCCAAATCTCTTGAGAGGCATGGAGTCACG